AAACGAACACACACACACAAACAACCTGGGTTTTATAATAAGTATAACTCGATATGAGTTGTCCCCCTTTCATTCTCACGATGCCTTTTAATCATGTTTTCAAATTGATTCCATGCAAAAACAATTGTGTTTTTCCAAGGTAATTTTACATAGTCCTGTGAAGTTTTGTTGAAATCAATTGAAAAATGTAGGAAATCCGATCCAATATATAAATGTACAGACACACAACCTGGGTTTTATAATAAGTATGATGTATTGCCCAGCACAGGAAGTGAACTCACCACCAGCTAATAGAAACTAATGCTTTGTTGTTGAATTGGCGTAATCACTTGTTCTTTGTAATGAATTCTGCTACATAGCTCAATATAAGCCCATGGTATTTCTTCCAGAGAGTGACCATTCATTTGCTTGGGAGCACCTTAGGATGAGGTAATGGTTAACAAGTTTGTCTCACTAGAACAATTATGACTGAGTAATGAGTTCGATCCTCACTGGATGCCTATATCTTTGGCCTTATGCCGGATCTAAGCACGCTTAGAAACTCACCATTTTTCAGTAGTCATACTGATGTCAGTGCAGCCGATGGGGGGGGGGGGGCAATTGTTTGTATGCACTTGTGTACCCTATGTTAAACCTGACCTTGTGTCACATTTCATCTCAGTGGGGAAACCAGGGTAAATAAAATATTCATTTGCCTGGGAATCCCTGGCAGACCACTTCATCACAAATGACTTTTCTTTGCCTTTAAACAGAATATCTTAGACTGTAGCAATTACTGAAAAGAAAAGCCTTGTATCACATTCCATTTAAATGTGCATACAGATGAATACCACTATTAATAGTGACTTATTTCTTTATTGATAACTACTTTTTTTTTTTCTTTGCAGAACAAATGTTTGGTCTCACAGCCAGAAATTAAAACAACATGACCCATGAATGATTTTAAATGCAAGATAGATAATTATATACTTTAAGTCTTTCAAGCAGTTCTCAACAAATTTAAATTATATAAAAAATATTCACAAGGCAACTGAGATGTGGACAAGACTCTTGAATGTTTAGATGCTGCAATCATCACAACAACTGAGAATTTTTCAACAAGATGTTGGTTATGATGAAATGGTTACAGATTTCCACAGATATCAGCATTTGAACATCATTTAAAAAAAATAAAAAATAAAAATTAAAAAATGGTACATTTCAAATGCTGATTTTCAAGGATGACACTATCCCTATTTGAAAAGAATGATAATCTTCCTGCCATGACTTTTACCTTGCACCATCATTTTTTTAATATACAACTGAATATTACAATTTTAGTCAGACAATCAAGGTATATAAATAATCTAAGAAATAATGGTACACATTATTTTAAGGTAGAATTGGCTTTGAGAGGCGCCTGACAGGAGATGATGGTCAGTAAGCTGAAACTGCTCATCAATTCTCACGTGTATCTCATAGGTGAGACAAAACTAAAATTAATACCTAAATTTAATAAAAAAAAAAAAAAAAAAATAATAATTCTCATCTGCAGTTAATTTTATATTTTTTTTAAATTCTATCAAAAAACATTTGCAACTTATTTGAATAAGTTTTTTTTTCTGAAAAGTATATAAATTAAATACTGCATTTTTATATATGTCACATTAGACACAAAAAAACAAACAAATCTAAATTAAAATAAAATGATTTTTAAAAAAAATGTCCCAATACCCAAATGTTTTATGTATACAAATTCCAAATATGTACTCAGAATTCTAACACTCTTAAGTTTGTTTTTTTTTTTAAATGTGCGTATCTATGTTTAAGATAAATATTATATTGATAAGATATTGTGAATTGAATAAATATGGATTAAATCTAAAAGAATGATTAATTAAGGAACAAATAGGAAAACATTTGTAAATTTAATATTTTGTTTTTATTTTAGTTTCAGAGATGTTTTTGAAATGAGGTAAAGAAAAGAAGTTTCACCATTTCGAATTTTGTGCTATTTATTTTCATTGGTCAAGTAAATCTCATGTGTTTGTCTTATGGTGTTTGTGTGTAATTCCTGAAGATGGCAGCGGAAAGAAATGAGAAATTATGCAAGTATGTATGTGTATGAAATTTTTAATTGGGTTTTCAGCTGCTGAAAGTATCAGTGTGTGTGTGGAGTCTATAGATTAAATGTATGTTATTAATTTTGGAGTAAATTATATAGTATATTAGTACAGTGCATAATATATTTATGCTAAAGTCAAATAGATTTTTTTTAGTACATAGCACTTTGGTAGACACAATTTTAACTAAAAATATATGCAGATGAAACTGTGTTGGTGGCAGACTTAGAAAGGAAACTGGAAGAACAATTAGATAAAGCAGTAAAAGAAATCAAGAAGGTTCAAAAATTTAACTATCTCAGTAGCACAGTAATAGACAATAGAAAACGTGATACATAAATCCAGCAATACAGTGGAATAGTGAAAGATGCTTTCCAAAAACCAAGTAAAATACAAAGAAACAGTAATTTTGCCTTAGAGACAAAGAAAAAAAAGTGCTAAATGCCTATGTAATATCAAGCTTCCTAAATACCAGTGCATGCTGAACAATTTCTTTACAAATGAAAAGAAAACTTGAGTCAACAGAGATGTGGTTCTACAGAAGGAGAATGCCATGGACAGACATGTGAACAACAAAGAAGTTTTAAGGAAAATGAGAAAAAAAAAAAAAGATACTTGTATTTCAAATCAGAAATAGAAAATTGAAATTTCTGTGATGCATGAGGAAAGAGGGCTTGGAGAATTTAGCACACACAGGACATACTGAAGGCAAGAATGATATATACATTATTTTATATTTATTATAACTAATTATTTAAAACATACCTAAAAATGTAAATATATAAGCAAAATAACAAAGAAATGCATATGAAAAAGCGTGACATTTTCCAGAGTTCAAAATGTTAAATTTTAGCATCCCAATGTAACTGCCTTAAATCCTTACTGAACCCGTGAGAGTTCATGGTCTTCCCATGAGGAGGAAGTATTACTTCCCATACTAAGAATCACAGTGCTAAGAGAATTTTGAGTCCAGTTTCAGCATACTCAATTTAGTCTCAGACACCATCATTTATCAAAAAGTTTTATTTTACTAATCAGTGTATTTGATATGAGACAAGGTTTTCACAGTCATTATCATGTGTATAACACAAAATCTTTACTTGAACAATTCCAAGTACAGACTCGGCATACTCGAGATATTTGAAGCATGCTTTTGTCCTAGAATCAAAATCAATACTGACCGATGTAATATACCAAATTCATATATATATATATATATATATATATATATATATATATATAAAAGCACCAATATTCAAAGAACTCATTGCCTTGCTTAAGGTGTGAAAGGATTTTAAAAAAAAAAAAAAAGTTATAATAATAATTAAATAATAATTAAAAAATTATTTGGTTGCTTATTTCAGTACATCATTTTAAACAAATTACCCCAAAATAATCAAGTGCCTTTTTATAGCCCCCTGACAATTGTAGAGGGCGCAGCAGAAATACCTCCCAGATAACAGTAAAACTAAGTGGCAATGGTGTAATCATCTATATTGTCTTACCATTATGTGGGAGGTATTTCTGTCATCCCCTGTATTATTGTCAACTAAGTGTTTTTAGATTTACCTAAGTAGCGAAGTAATCTTTCTAAGTACAAGTTAACTGAAATAAGAACTGTGTAATTTGTCTTTGTATCTAATTTTTAACGTTAAATATCGCTAAGGCAAGGGAGACAACTCCGTTTTTCCTGTGTACAGTCAACGCCAAGTAGTAGTATCTTTACTATAACAATGCCAGGTGAGGACACCTCGAGGCGGTGTAATGGTGAGCAAGCTTGTCTCGCTAGAACAATTACTATTAAGTAGTGAGTTTGATTCTCACTGGGTGCTCCATACTTTCGGACTTGTGCCACATCTGAGCTACGCTTGGAAAAAAAAAAAAAAAAAAAAAAAAATACTATATAAATAAACTGAAAATGTTTTATTAAAAAAAAAAAAAAAAATTTAAAATGTTTAATTTTTTTTTTTTTGTATTTTTACCAATTTTCCGATGAGGTGTTCAGTTTTGTGCTCATATTTTATTAGTAATATAAAAAAACAAATTAAATAAAATAAATTGCATTCTTTTTGTGGGGCCTTGTCATACTTGTGCCATTATACTAGACCATTTCAAATGTCCAGCTTTCCAAAGAATTCTATCACACAGACACCACATCAGTTCTTCATGACTGCAAAAGTTGAATGTACTTCAACAAAAAAAAAAATAACAAAATATGAACTCCAGACAGTTTATCCACAAATTCAAGAATAATACTCAACACCTTATCCAAAAATTGGAAAAATATTAAACAAAGCCTGTTGGTTCTTTTTAATCAAACTTGATTGGATTAATACTTACTGCCTAAATATATATATGACATTTGGTGATTGTCTTTATGTAGAAAATGTTGTTATGTATCTTTGAATGTTTTTTTTTTTTTTTTTTTTATACCTACTTTTACAAACACCCCCAAACAACACTTTAATGTGGGTGATTTGATCTGATGGCATAACAGAAATAGAATTTTCTATTATTTTAAACTTGTCACACAAAACACCGAATTTATTTTGGTTTTAAATTATTTTTAGCTTTTTTATTTTTATTTAGTCATTTTGCAATTGCATTGTACTAATAAAATAAAGACTTCCATCAATTGTTGACAATATATGTAAACTATTAAACAGTAATAATAACAAAAAACGTCATCCCTTCATTTTGAGGAAAAGTTATCTCACATAAAATTTCCTCTTACCTCCCTTGGAGATAAAAGGAAATTATTTCAGACTGAACCACATAAATTTTAAGAAGTTTAACCTCACTCTTCAGTCTTCCATTTCCGAGTAAATTAATCAATGTTTGTTAAATAAGCAACAAAGAATAGAAGAAAAATAAAAACTGGATTCAGTTTTAGAAAATTTATTCATCACTCGAACTACTACTAGAAGAATCACTTGACATAATCTCAACATCTTCATTGTCTCGAGATGTGTGGTTGCGAATCGACTCTGAGAGGCCAGCACTGCTGGCCATAGCGGATACACTGGTCGGCAGGCAGCTGTTGTGTGCACTGTTAGTAAGGCCAAACATTGGAGGAGGCGGGTCAAGCAGAGGAACAGAAGAAGGTGGTGGCTGAGGTGGAACTGGGGGAGGTGGCTGAAGAGATGAAGACTGCCAGGACATTGATCCACTCTGGGCATTTTGCATGTGATCTGCAGAGAAAAAAAACAAATAAAGGAAATAAGATACAAAACACAAGATTTTATTAAGTAACAGATCAGAAATTTTCAATCTTATAAAAATGATTAGTTTTATTAAGCATGAATTTTATTTTTAATAATAATTTTGAAAAATGACTGCTGACTTTGCTAAGTCCTCACAATAGCCAGACCTAAATAATAATAAAAATTGTTTTATAATTTATTTTAAAATAATTAGGCAAAAGTAAAAACTTTGCTCAATTATGTAAGAAGATTTTTTTTTTTTTTTTTTTCAACATTAATTCTATTGAACGTATTTGCTGTGTTGTGCCACAATGTATTTTAAAATCTTTCAATTTCAGAGATATCACGACATGGGATAATAGCTGATAAGTATGGCTGACCATTACTACTGTGTAGTGAGTTCCATCCTCACTGGGTGCCCCGGACATTAAATAACCCAATAAAGTTTGACATGTAAAATCAACCAAACTTAACTAATATTTTATCTTTCTCAGAAAATAATGGCGATAGGTATCTTTTGCAGTCTCAAAGGGAATTGAAAATTTTCTTAAGAGATGAGAATAAACCTTCTTTATGTGCTGCGTCTCCTTATGGTGTAGATGATCATGGCTCTCCACGATTTTCTGTCTTTTGAAACTCTTAATAAATTTTATCTTTTTATTATTTCTCCTAAACCCTGTTCCAGCATCCATTTATGCAAGCTCACTAAGTATGTTTATTCGGAACAAACCCAAAAATGCAAGTTGCAGGATGCAATTCTGTTATTTTTCTTTCATATAGAAAAGCATTACAAGCTAAGAAATTCAGAACTGATTTAAGATCTTCAAAAATTCCTTCAAAATATTTGCCAGATACTGTGAAAAAGTGTATCATATTTGCAGAGATTATGGTTCCAATTTGACCTGAAAGAAAACCAAAGAAAGGATTATAAAATCTTAGTCCTTTGGCAGTCAGTTAGCCTTAATTTGTATAATGTAATGACTGGCTGCCAATCCCCGTTGCAGATGCTTGCTCAGGCTCCTTTATGTTTATTTCACACCCACAGAGCCAACCTGCAACTATGCTGAGTGGATCTTAGTTACAGTTTGAGAGAGAAAGAAAGAGAGAGAAAGAAAGAGAGAACTATCTGGAATGATCAACAGTGAACGAGGCCAGCACATGCAAACTCTCGCTCACAATGACTTGTAACTTTGTACTAGATCAACCATCAACAGATCCCAAAGAGTTCTGTCGACCCAATTTCACTCACATGGCTCAGGTCAACCAGTGATATGGTTTCAGACACTTTCTAAAATGTGCCAATTGCTGAGATCACCTCTACAGGCTAATAGCATCAAGAATTCACTTTCCGAACAAATTAACCATAGTGCTATTCGAATCTGGGTGTCATGGTCAGAAAGTGAACATTCTAACCATTCAGCCAATATTGCTCTGATATATAGAAATTTATAAAAATATTCTCCCATGAGATTATAAAAATATTAAAAATATAACATGATTGGTTGACCTCCTAATTTTTTTGAAATTATATATATATATATATATATATATATATATATATATATATATATATATATATATATATATATATATATATATATATTTTCTTTCAATTAGATCTTAAAGTCTTTCACACTTAGAGATAAATAATACAACTATCTAAATGTAAGCTCCTTTTTCATTGATGTTTGATTTACTAGTTTAAAATAAAGAACTGCTTGAGGTATGTATGTATGTTCCACTTAAGAGTCTGCAATTATTAATGACAAGAATTAAATATAAATGAATTTTAATTAAAAAAAGTTGTGCCATTCCAAAACCTAACAAACCAATTCAAGCTAATGCTCTATCAGGACAATGATTCAATGTTAACCTTGAGTCCCAAGAATGTCTGACACAAATGTTACCTCTATCAAGATGTTAAAATGTCAAGCCCTTATAGCCTAAATCACATAGTTACCACTTTATGCAACCTATTGGAGGTTTGTATCTCAGGAAGCACCTCCCTATTGCCTAGAACAATATTCAGATGAAATCAATTTTTGCATTTATCCAAGGGTTACAACATTAAAAAAAAAGGATCTTGTGTTAACATACTACTTATAGGATGAAGAGTAAATTCCACTTACCCAAAAATCCATGCCGCATTTCAAAATCTGTTGGGTAAGGTCGCCGAGGGTCACCTGGAAATTCAAAGGAGTAATTTACAAACCTTTAAATATTTAAAAAAAAAAAAGAAGATATTTTTCCAATAAATTTTCAAATGAAGCAACTAAATATCTTTGCAAAATTGTTGAACTACCTTATAATAAAATCAGGTTTAGAGAAGAAAAAAAAAAAAAGAGAAAGAAGAAGAAATAAGAATAATAATAATAATCTTCCCCAAAGTATTTGTTGGGATGAGAAAAGAGATTTCTCCAAGTGGATTCAGTAAGATAAATATAAACAATAAATCTTTACATGTGTGCTTCAGCAGAGGGTAAAGATTAACAAGCTGATCATTACTATAGTTTAATGAAATTGATCTTCAGAGTGTCCCTGTACAGAAAAATAAGCTGTAAGTAAATTACAATGTAAATAACAATAAATAGAGTAGATCGACAAAGTACACAGTATTGTTGATCCCCACCTATACACATTTTTTTTAAGACTCAATTTGGTTAAACTCTTGACATTCTGTTAAATGGCCAAATTCCAGACTTCAAGAAGTATCATAAGGTTGAAGCACTTAAGATATGAAATTTGACAGTCTCTTCTATATAAATATGACATCTCTCCAACTGACTCATATTTTCAAGAATTTCAGATTTCTATACAAGATAAGATTAAATAATCAATTTCACTTTTTCAAAGATTTCTGAACCTCAAAAATTATAGAGGTTTATAAAGACGAGGCATTTTCATAACAAAACTTGTGGAAGTGTCATAAAAATCAAACAGAACATTTTGATAAAAAGATATATCATGATATTTAGAAATTCATCTTCATAAGTGGCCTTTTTACAATATGCTACCCAAAGTTTTAGGGAACTTGTATAGTACACGAATAGTACCCAAACATCTAATTTCCACAGTGACTCTCAGATATTAAGGAGACTAATTTCTATACAGTCAAATTCCACAAGTAGTATTTTGTATAGACAGAGAAACTGATCCCTAGATAATCAAAAGTAGAGACTCACAGAAATTGAAATAGAGAGATACAAACTCCCATAGCACAAATATTTCCATTACAAACTTATTCATGTTTCAAGAATCAAATAAAGTACATCTTCATTTAAATAATGTAATAGTGTGTGGCAAACATATCAGTACAGACATAAAAGAGGCCCCAAGTCACATGCAGATAGGTCTGTCAAAACTAGTCACATCCAAGTCTTCTTCATGAGCAGCAGAACAGCTTAGCATATCCAAATACAGTCCTCTCTGCAACTTGTCCAGATCTGGGTCTTTGTCAACTGTCTCATGTCAATAAAAGTCAGCAGTTGTCAGTTTGTGAGACTCTTCTCTATTGTCAGAGTTGGTTTCTTGTGAAGAGTTTCCCTTGGTGCATTTTTATCTGGAAGTTGCGGACCTCTGCTGGGCTGTGGTTTCTGATGCAGTGGCCTCAATAGTCATTACTCCGTTTTATTTTGTTTCCTCCCATCTCTTTCCCTTCCCTGCTTGTTCCCCTAGAATTCTTAAGAAATCAATCTGTTATGGGTTTCCCCCACCCGAAAACTCAACACACCCTTGCCTTATTTTACAACATTGTGTTTCAAAAATGTGGTATTTCATTTTCTTCTTCCATAATCGACCACTGCATATAAAAAAAAAAAGAAGAAAGCTTCTTACCTGGTGCCCATGTGACAGGAGCTGAAATGGCATTACTGGCACTGATTCTGTGAGCAAATTTGATAAGTTCTTCTGATGAGATTGTCTTCTTATTTGCTTGGGCAATTGAGTTTAGTTTCTGTTTAGCTTGATAGATGGCAGTCGCCTGTCACAAAAATAGACAATGAAGAAAAATAAATTAGAAATTGGGATGACAACAACTTGCTTTGTACCTCAAAATTGACAATAGAATTTCAGTTTTTATACATACACATATATATATATATATTATATATATACACACACACACACACACACACACACGATTAATATAAAATAAAATAAAATTTATCAATAAGCTGATTGATATTACCTTCAGCATCCCAACTCTCGAGTTTCATAAATGGATGCTCTAGCAATCACTCCATCAAGGGGATGGATATATATATATTTCTAAAGTTATTATCATTTATCTTAAACAATTATATTATGAAAAAATTAAATTGATGCAAGTTTTTTCTAGCATATACACAAATATGAGATGAAAAAAAAATCTTAAAAAAGTCTTAACTTACAATTTTACAACTTCTAATATTTCAAAGTTAGAATCATTTTCTTTTTCATTTAAAGTGTTGACTCCTTTCATTAATCAATAAATAAAATACCAAATTTTTTTTGCACAAATGTAACAAATAATTCAAGCCAGAAAATATCAAAGGTCTGAGTCAAATTTAATGTCAATTAAGAATCTTTCTCCCAAAAGGAATTGATCTGTAGTAGACCCAGTATGTAAGAAATACCAAAACAAACTTTGCATTAAGTGTCACACCTGAGTATCAGAGGTTTGACCTCGAAAGTAACCTCACAGACACCAAGTACAGAATTAGGCCTTGAATAATGGCAGTGGCTGTTCCCGACATGTAAACAGGTGGTCGACCCAACTGTGCTTAGGATGTGAACACACAAGACAATTGGATGACAGGAAGTTATATAAGCACCTCACTAAAGAGAAAAAAAAAAAAAAAAAAAAAAACATCTATCATATCTTCATAAAAAGATGATCAAAATTCAAAAAGTTCCCCATACCACACACCGTTAACCACCATAAAATGATTGGAATTTTGTTAATTTTTTTTTTTTTTTTTTTTACAAAATGCATAACAGAAGTAAGTTTCTGAATATTGTCTCTTTACTTAAATAGAATATTTTGTCAAAACAAAGAATGAACTCAAAGACGTTTAAACAATCTTTCTTTTCGTTGGTATCATAATCCAGACTGGCTGTAATGAAGACTAAAGAATGTCATGTCAAACCTTATCCTTGATAATTCTGTAAATGCTACTAATTTTTCAGTTTATAATTCATTTTCTTAAAATAATTTCTTTGTTTTGATTAAAATAGAGACTTTATGGGTAGCCTGCATTTTTGACTTCCTCAGATGTCTTGTTTTTTGCCCTGCCTAAGAAAAAAAAAAAAAAAAAAAAAAAAAAAAAAAAAAAGGAGAAATACAGTATATATTCATGCATCATGCAACCTTTGAAGACCTAATTTTGAAGCTAATTTGACTATAGTAAATGGATATATAGTTTGGTCAACAGTGTAGCCAGGGCCAGCAATACATACACTAATTTTATATCTCATGCATAATGTGACCCCCTTAAAATTAACTTCAAAAATAGGTCTTCAAAAGTTACATGATACACGAGTATATACAGTAAATAATTATAAGAGATCCCTACCTTCCCTTCTTTCAATTTTCATACTTGAAGATGTTTGTAGAATAGATCAACCAAAATATCATAAAAATAAAAAGAATGAGATCAAAAATCTGAATAACACTTGAAATAAGGAGATCACAAAACTAAATTTATAGTTGTTATTTGTGTCTTCAACTTATTGTTGTTGTTTTTTCTACTTGATTAGAATTACATTTTCTTTAGCAAAAGTGACACTACAAGAGGTTCTGTTGATCAGGAAGGAGAAGAAAAGAAAACAGATAATACTAAGTGAGAAAGAGAATCAACTGTCAAGCTTCTAAATTTCAAGAATTTAAAAAAAAAAAAAAAAAAAAAAAAAAAAGTTTGTTTTTTCTAATCATTTCACCCCAAGCAAAACAATAAAGCCACATGATCTTACTGAGTGTAAATGAATATGAGAAAAAGAAAAAAAAAATTATTAAAAGATGAGAGAACAATAAAAGAACAGGAAGTAAAAAAAAAAAAAAAAAAAAAAACAGAACATAGCAACTGAAATTGTGTTTTAATTTTTGAAGATAAAAATTGACTGGAAAGCAAGAGGCCGAAAGAGAGTTCCATAATCAAGAAGTACAAAAGAAGAAACTTTTAGCACAGAACTTACAGTAACATCTAGAAATTTTTACTGTAATGGGACCTACTTGCCAATCAAGTATTGTTTTTAAATTCATAAAGTTGAGGTAACAAAGAGGAAAGTTCATCAAAACAATTACCATGAAAGTATTTATAGAAAATTCACAGGAAAGCTACATTACAACAAGGGAAAAGTGACTGAAGTGGAGATATCGGGATTGATAATACTGCAAACCCTTCTTTGAATTTTATCAAGAATCTCTAAATACATAGCAGCAGCAGCAGCAGCAGCCTAGGTGTAAAAACAATATTCAACACACAGAGAAATGTTAGAATTATAATCTTTCCATTTCATGTTAGTAGAAAATGTTAGCCCAAGAAAGCACAAGGAGTCAACCTCCTGGAGGTTAGCATCAGCCATGCTGATGGAAGGCAAAAAAGGTTCTATAATATGATTAAAAGAGAGCAGTTTTTATTTTGAAGGTGTTAAAATTAACAAGCTATTTCTTGCCCCAATTAACAATAGATTGTAGATCATTTGTTTTTAAATCAGCTGCGAATTTAACCTTATCAAACTAATCAGACTTACTATTAAGACAGGAGTAAATAGTTGCGTCATCAGCATAGATACCAAATTGAGAACACGTGAAATTAGGAAGGTCGCTGATAAAAACTATGACCAATGTAGATTCACAGATAAAGCCCTGGAAGACACCTGTATTTATGCAAAAAGATCTAAAAGAGTGACTATGCAAGATGACTTTCATTTTGCAATTAGATAAGAAAGATTGAATCAGATCAGAAATTCATCAAGAAATACCATAACCTTTCAACTTGTGAAGAAAACCAGCATGCCAAAACCTATCAATCGCTTTGGAGATATCCAAATCAAAAGCCCAAGCTTCATCATTCTTATCCTAAGTTTGACAGACTCTTTCAGCATTAACCATTAACACATCAGTAGTTGACCTAGAGAAGCAAAAGCCATACTGCTTGTCTGCAAGAAGACCCTGCGAGATGAGATGCTCAACTAATTTGGAGTTGATTAGAGCCTCCTGTATTTTTGCCATAATAAGGTAGAAGGTTAATAGGTAGGTAGATAGATAGGTCAGAGGGTTTACCATTCTTAAAGACTGGAACTACAGAACTAACAAGCAAGAAGTTATTTATTATAGATTTTAGAGAGGACAAGTTTTGGAGAATATTTCTTAAGGAGTATTGCACGGACATCATCAAGTCAATATGCTTTGTGTGGATCCAGTTTAGAGACGATTACAGAAACCATGGATGGTGTTATGTGCACATCACACAATAGAGACTTTGTTCCAAATGGAAAGTCAGGCAAATATCCTCTAAATGAGTCAAGAGTAGAATTGGAAGAGAATTTATGAGCAAAACATTTTTGCTTTATCAACAGATGTTAATACCTCAAACTAAGTGAAGTGAAGAGGGATAGAAGACTTGGTTTTATTTAAAACATTATAACAGAGCCACCAATAGTCACTTGAACCAAACTTTTTAGAGGCTATATGATGCCTCATTCTCTCAGCAAATAAAGATGTTTATCATCATTACAAGTAGAGACAAATAGGTGTCTGTTGTGAGTGGAATTATGATGTTGGCACAGTCAGAAAAAGTGATTCCTGTAGGCTATAGCTGCTGAAAAAGCTGGCATGAACCAAGAAGATTGGTTTTACCTGTTTTTTTAAAAATGACTGTGGCATAAAACAGAAACTTTCTTCCTTTACAGCATTCATTGTTAACTTACCAAAATTGTTTCTGCCTCTTTCAAGTTCTTCTGAAAATTCTTAATATCTGTGTCTCGTTTGTCCACTTCAAGTTTAAGGTCATCTGTGATTTTCTGAATTTCCATTTGTTCCTCAGCTAGAAAAGTAATGAAAATATAAATAACACAAGAAGATTGCAACCTGTTCAGTGGTCAAGATAACTGGTTGTTTTCCACTGACACCAATACAAGTTTTCTACCTACATTTTCCACTAATTGGCCTTGTGCTATATTAAGTTTAATATTCCTTTAATGTGTAGGTAAAAACTGAAGTTGATAATCGGAAAGGAAAACCATGAAAATTCTCAAAGGTGTTTTGCAATTGTTATCAAATTAATCCTGCAGATCATTACAACTGTAGTGAGTTTGATCCTCACTGGATGACCAACACTTGTGCCAAAATTACAAAATTCTAACACAAATCATGACAATTAAGACACAGGTAAGTAGAACAAAATACAAAAGTTTTTAAAATTACAGCAATATGAAAAAAAAAAAAATTCTTTTTAAATTAAAAGATGTCTGAAAATTGCATATACGTGAAACTCTAGTCATGACAAGAGCCATCCTTTCATAGGATTTATTATTGGTAAGTGTTTTTGCTCAGTCTAGGCAATCTAGACTTTGAGCACTTTACTGAATAGGTAAGTTTGCTATCAGACCTTTTTTCTCTTTCTTTTTCCAGTAGTGTTGTCTTTATTCAAGATTGTATCTGGATAAGAGTTTAGGTTTTGCCAAGCTGTCTGTTGGTTCCACCAATAGGTTTTTTGTTTCTCTTTAGTGTGTGTATGTGCGCATGTAGGGGTTGCTTACTTGCAGCATGGGGACAGCTAGCAAATGGGCCATAGCAGATGAAGTGGTTCCCACAGTACCCGTGCAATTGTTTATAGTCGTTCATAGTTTTTACAACACCATCTGGATTCTCAGCATCAAACAGCCTCACCAACGACAAGAACCAGTCAAGATAATTGGAGACATACGGCTCAAGTGGTCTGATCGTAAGACACAGGCAGAATCATTAATACCCAAATCCTATCACAATGATATGACCTCTGACATTGCAAATGTATGTGTGTGTGTGACTGTACAGAGTAAGTGTCCAGAAATAAAAACTTATTAAATAACCATAACAAATCTGTAGCAAACTCATCTGGATTTTACTGTGTCATTTTGAGAAGTTTACAATGGTGGAAAAATACTGTAAGAAATGAATTTCAAAGAATGAATGAAAAACAAATACTTGCCTAATTTTAAAGATTCTTTAATTTCTTTATCTTTCTGAACAAGTAATTCCATGAGAAGGCCAGGATCAGGTGTATCTTGTTTTTGTTGGTTTTTAGGGGTGCTCATTACATCGAAAAGCTCTCTGAAAATAAAACCCAAATCAAAAGCATGAAACCAGGGTCCATCATCTGATGAGGGTGTAAGGATTGGTAAGAGGAGAAAAAAAAAAAAAAAAAAAAAAAAAAAAAAAAAGAATATTCTACTCAGCAATTCTTAGCTAGCACCAGTAGAGCTAATTGACTAGACTAACAATCATATACAACTATGTGACATTACTTAGTAGAAGGTATTAAAAACTACATTGCCCATGTTACCAAGTTAACATATACACTGGGAATAATAAACAAAGAGAGTGGGAGGGGGGAGTCTATTACTTGTATGTCAGTTTGGACACCAGAGACAACCAAGTTGAACTAGTATCTCTTTAACGATAAGAGAAAGAAAGAGATATAAGTCTAGTTTGCCTACTGGTTGGGAAATGACCAAGACCCTTGCATAGCTTTATATATAGATTTAATACAAGTAAAAGGTTTGTCACTTTGCTGACTGATGTTACCTTCATTATCTTGACTCCAGAGTTTCAGAAACAGACCCTTCGGGAATTACTCCACCCACTCATCAGGAGCATCAGTAATTGACTGCTTATACTTCGATTTTCTTTTTTTTTTTATATGCACCTTTTGTTGGTGAAAGTTCGTTTTTTCACAGTGTATATGTGTGTGAATGTGTTTATGTGCTTGTCTGTGCGCGAGTGTAGGATGTCGTAATTATTTGACCTTTACATTGTTTTTTTTTTTTTTACTTTACACTCACTCCTCAATATCAACAAATATTGTTGAACTGATATACATTATATATAAGCATAGCTTAGTTTGACACAGTTACAGTAGTGCAGCCCATAATAAGGATGAAACTCACTGGGGTCTACAAGACAAGTTTGTTAATCATTACACTACAGTGATCATCAATTTATACATCTGGTCAATTGGGACACAACTAGCATAGAACAGTTTGGCCCAATTGTTTGATTGATGGAGAGATATATAAACTGTTTGAACTAAAATGCTACAAGAACTTGATAGCTTGCAGAAGATCAAATCTAACCTATAAACCATTCATTACTTATCAGCACAAAATTAGGAGTACAGGTTGCGACAGATAAATTGCCATCTAAATTAGGCAAAAATGGAAATAACACTGACATCTCATCTTAACAGATATATTTATCAAAATTACACTAAAATATCTTGAATAAATTTACTCTTTAGTATTTCAATAAAAAAAAATATATCACCATTGCTTCAACCACAGCCTCAGATAATTTCAGAATCTCCTGCAACTCTGCTGGATGGTCTCCTTGTTCGAGTTGGTGAATGCTGCCATAATTCTTGCCTTCAGTTCATCTTTGGTGTTTTCAAGTGAGAATAGAATTCACTACACCAACAATTGACTGACAGAGTAGCATACCGTCTTTATATGCCGTGTTCTCTAAAGATGTAGATGATCATTTCCTGTCTTTCGTAGCTCTCAAAAAATTTAATTATTTCTCCTAAATTCTGTCCTGCCATCCATTTACTTAAGCCCATCAAGTATGTTATGCACTCTTTTACTCTGTCCCTCAATCTGTCCTGTGAGTATCAGATTTTCCAAACCTTCTTTCCTTATTACATGCCCAGAAATTTCAACTGTCCCTTCCAGATGTTAAGTATAATTTTCCTTTTTTGTTTCCATTTTCTCTAAAGCCTTGTCATTGCTCATGTGTTTGGTCCATGGTATCCACAGCATCCTTTTGTAGAACCACATTTCTGTTGCTTCAAGTCTCTTCTTCAAGATCGTCCGGCATTCACTACCATATAGAAGAACAGATATATCACATAACAGTTCAGTAATCTTTTCTTTGTTTCTAAGAAAGTTTTTCTGTTTCTTAATACTCTGCTTAGCTTTTGGAATGCATCTTTGTCTATCCCAATGTCTTCAGATTTCAGTTTTGCACTTTCCTTCCTCTGTTAGAACACTTCCCAGATATTTAAACTTTTGTACTAGTTTGGTTTTGCTATCTCCGATTTATAATTTGCATTTTGGGGTCATCCTTTTGAACTAATCAATGAATAATTACATAGTGATGGGCCCCAATTTTATTTGAGTGTTTTTACACTCAAAAAGAAAATTGCGAATTGGCTGTTGCATGATCAAAAACTAACTTTGCATAGTAATAAATAAATCTATGTATATTTTAGAAAAATAAAAGATACCTTTCAATGCAGGTAGTGGAAGACCATTTTTTATTATAACATCAAATACATCAACTTTCACATGTGAAGAAAAAGAGGTAAATTTGCTGATTAGGACCCAGAAACCAATTAAAAAAAATAAATAAATAAAGCATCATTTCTGGTGTGTAAAAAAAAAAAAAAAAAAAAAAAAAAGCAACTATTCTAAACCTACTGGGTAGGAGATATCAACAATCTTAGTTGGGTCTTATTTGCGTCTCGGCTACAGCCCAGCTCTTGGTCTTTCCTCTTTAACAAATATTTTGACTTTAAAAAACTTTGTTTTTATTAAGTTTGGGGCCTTTTTGCATTGCAAAATTAGAAGTACATAAAAAAAGCATGATTATTACAAAAATAAGGCCACCTTTTAGAAGGGTATTAGAAATATAATGCTAGCCGGATTGTAGCCAAGACGTAACTAACATTATCGATAATGCTGTTTTTGGAATATCCAGGCTATTTTTTTTTTTTTTTTTTAATACACCAAAAAAATAATGCTTCTGAATTAAATTGGCTTCTGGGTCCAAATCTGCAATTTTACCGAAAAATATTTATTGAAACGAATAAAAAGTTACGATTATGTGGTAATCGTAAAACTTTCTTTATGGATTCGGCATTAAAATTTCATAGAGTTTGCCTTTTGAGGGAATCACATGGATGCCTCAACATGCATATTTTCCTTCCTGGTAGCAAATAAAAAGTTAGAAACGAAATCTAAATTTAAAACATACAATGAAATTCACGAGATTAATTAAATTTTTAAGTTATTGAGTAATCCGATCGCCATTAAAAACAAATTAAAAAGAAAAATCAGATTTCGGAATCTTTTTATCCCCTCCACCTTTGCAGTGAATATTAGAAATAGCAAATTAGGAGTTTTACGGATTTGCGTTGGTTCTGTACTTTCATTTCGGCTGCAAAATTTTACAAAAATTAAAAATGAATACCAAGACAATAAAATTAAGGAGATATAACAAGCTATAATAAAATTCCGGGCATGAAAAACATTTTTTTTTAACCTTACTTTTCTTTTGGCGTTTTGCCAATTGTTTTTTTTTTTGTTTTTTTTTTCCCCACAATATGCTAAAAATCGATGGTTCAACTTCAAATGCACACACAACAGAAAACAAAATAACCATTTAAAAAAAAATCTGAAAATGGAAAGTGGAGGAGATATATCGAAGCTTCTAAAATTTTAGGAACCGGCAATTGTTTTTAAATCGCTAAATGAAAAACCAAAAAGATTTTTAAAACACTTTAAGTCAAAGTGCGTGTGTATTCGGTGACAGACTCTTGAAAAAAATATTTTTGAACCTAACGATTTCATAAGTTTTAAGTCATTTAACAAGTTATATATTTTGTTTTGTAACTGTAGTTCCAATTTTCAATTAATACATTTTACCAGAATAAAGCTTATTTTTTTCTTTCAACAATAAAACAAAAAAAAAATGAATTCCTGAGATGAGGAGTTATTTTTATCTTCATTACACAGATTTCTCCAGATTAGTGTTCTCATCTTTTCTTTATCAACGATAACATAGAAGACAAAAACAATATAGTCCGAACAAATCATATTGTAGTATAAGGTAATGATAAATTTAAAAATTATTTAACCAAAATAAAAAAATAAAAAAAAAACACTTGCAGAATTTTTTAAAAAACACGAGAATCTGTTAAAAGATCATTTAGAATTTAAGCGGTTCATCAGAAATATAAATTATCAAAAATAAATACTGAATAAGAAATTTATACTGGATACAATATATGCTAAAAGATTAAAGATTTTAATGTATACTTACTTAGAAACGATTTCAATGTCATCAATAAGCGTTAAAAGCTTTTGTTTAGTACTAATAGCCGCCATCTTTCACAATGTTCGGTGTCATTCAACTGATGTTCCGTTTTTAAAAGAATACCGGGTCTCATCAAACTGCAAAAAAACAAAAAGAAATTCCAAGCTTATCATAAACGCATAGATTACGAAATACCACGAGAATTTTGACAACATTTGTATCAGTGAGAAATTTTTATTTGGAATGTATTGTGTACAGCTTTATTTTTTATTCAATTTTGGATAAAATCTGTTTTGAGAAAACCTTTACTTAAACATTCCTGAGCCACTGACTCACTAAAACTATAAAGCTAACGCCGATTTCACTCACGAAGGCAGATCCGATGAGTTGAAATTAGCGATGGAGCCCACAGCAAATAAGCTTAACCAAACTTAGCTGGCTACACGACTGCTCAGGCCATCAGTAGCGACATCAAGGCGCTCCCATCAATATTCAATAGTGATGCCTTCGACCAGCAATGAAATCAGCGGCAGGAGAGACTAACTTGACTACTACGATGCGATAATATGTGGAATATTTCTTCCCAATCGACTACATATGCGTGTTGATTTCATCCATGTATCTATCTCGACTTCTACCTTGTTTTATACTCCGAACGGACTCTCAGTCTCTTATGACTGATACACTGGAATAACAATCGAACTTTGCAGATCACGGGAAATAAAAACTCTTTAAATTAGTTCAACCATGTTTTATTTCCATTTGTTATTAACAGTAAGGATGTAGAGAGTGCAAAATGATAACTCCCTTCTTCACCCACTCTCTTCAAATTCGGAGGACTGATGAAGAAGAAAGAAAGGAATTCGCGAACCTATTTGAAATTTTCTTTGGATCAATGAAAACCTTCCCTTCACAGAAATTAGGCAGTCAGTCGAGAAAGAGTAGAAGAAAAGAGAAGCGTGTCTGAAGTCATATGAAAGGTTTCGTTTCAGTTCATCGTGACCAATGTTGAAGTTCTCGCCAGTGTAAAAAATACTCGCCAATTATATTACTGATCTCTAACCAGCAAGCGGCATTTCAAAGATTTTTCTCTCAACAATCCAAGAAAGCTATTTATCTTCGTCTACTTTTGAACGTATGCAAACCATCTAATTTAAGAAAATTCGGTAATGGAAGAATCGGTAATTTTGACAAGGTAGAAAATTAGGTAAGTATGAAATAAAAGTCGATTGAAAATTAATTTTAGGGCCGTTCTGAAGTGGAGATTTGGTGGCTAAATGAATATAAAATATTTATATTTTAAAATAACTGAAAATCATAGGGTCCAGATAAAACCCCACTGAAACAATATTAGGGGCGTACTTTCTAGAGGTTGGGGGGGGATAAACCCCTCTCCAATATTTTTAAATAAATATTTTTTAAATAAATATTTATTTAATTACTATACTCTATTGTTTTCAAGCAAATAAAATCGATTTATCTAAATTAAAGTTAAATTCTTGTATCTTCTTTTCAAATTATTATTTTAATTAAAAAGTAGTTAAATAAATTAAGTTTTTAAATTAATTAAGTTAAATAAATTAAGTTTTAAATAGTTATTTCTTTTTTTTTAAAAAAAAAAGCAAAAAATATATAGCTTCATTTCTATTTAAAAAATATAGGGGAGGGGGCTGAGCCCCCAAATCCCCATTCCAGAACGGCTCTAAAATCAATTATATAATCGACTTTTATTTCATAGTTACCAAATTTTCCTATCTTGTGAAAATCACCCAATTTTTATCACTGTCGGAGTTAGCTCCTCCTTAGATCCCTTTCACCAGGGGTCTCTCTTCCCTGGCTATAAATACTCGCTGACCCTTCGCCTCTTCCTCTTTTTGCCTCGGGCTTTCAGCCTTACCACTTCGCAGATGTGAACGCTCACAGATACAGCGTTTCCCAAATGCTGGGAACACGCTAAGAACAACGTACGTACGAATATATATACTTGTTTACATATATTTATCGGTCTTGTGTTTGTTTTTCCTCATCTTCTTTGGACTTTAGAAGTAGATGAGTACACGTGGGTTAAAATTTCCTGCTAGCCGGTCCAACTACATGAGAAAGTTGGACAAGTCCAAGAAATTTTAACCCACGTGTACTCATCTACTTCTACTCAACATCGCCGACACGGTCCTCTACATCACCGAATTTTCCGGGCACCAGGTAAATCAACTGTTCATCTTAATCCCTAAACCTCATGCCACTAAAAGGCCACCGTTACAGAACAATCATTGCTATCAATACTATATCTTGGTATATAATTAATTCAACGCAGACTTTTCCCTAAAAAAATTTGAGTTTAATTTAAAATATTTAAATCAATTTGAAGATTTTGATAGTTAAACAAACGCAAATATTTCTTTAAGGTCTGCTGCTGCGGATAATACTGAATACTTCTTTCCTCAACATTGGTACTGTGGTCATTAAGTGTTCAAGGCCGGCCAAAAAAAATATCGATTTTGAAAACATATTTTCAAGGTAGACAGACTCTCCCCAACTGAAAGGTTAGCGCAACTTAGCATGTGTACCATCACTGCATTTAAGTCTGCTCGATTAACCTCACTTTATACCAATAAAACATATTTAAAATAAACTTTGATACACCAAGACTACTGATGAGGATGAATCTTAAATGGAAGACATGAATTCTCAGATGATTCTACAACCTGAATTCGGGGGTGCAAAGACTGAAAGAGATCGGGTCCTGAAAATTGGCTGTAAATGTAAATTCTGCCCATATTACTCTGTCATGTTTATTTTTCTGTAACTACGAGTTAAAAAAAACACCGTGTCTCCTCAAAACTTTCAGTATGCAATATGAATGAGTTGCTGATACAATTGTGCTTACAATGTTGTATTTTTCAGTAAAAATAGGTATTCATAAGTATAAATGCCTGTACTGATTACGACTGAGAATGGCCCTTTCAGATTATCTATGGTATAGCATAGTTAATTTGTGTAGATTGTTCTTAAGCTTAAGTTAAATTTAAATTTGAGTTACCTTTAAAATTGTCTCTAATATTTTCAGTTAGTTATAGAATGGAGATAATGATTGAGATGAAGTTGCCACTAACGTGGAAGTAAGGATTCAAAGCGTAGTGATGTACAATTGATTTTTTTTTTAAAAGAAGTTAAATAACAGTGAATAAATTTAATACAGTTGTTTTGTTGGATTACTGCCCCAGACATGATCAGATGGGCACTGATCATTTAAACATTCCATACAGTATCCCAAATAAATCGACCAACAGAAGACAACAATCCTGCTTTCCCTCCAGAAGCCAATGTACTGATGATGGGAGGTGCTATACTGATGACCTAGGTATTTATAGTTGAGATAAGAATAATTTTAAAATAAAATCTACCAAGTGATTCAAGAACTTGGACTCAAGGTAAACATTTTCAAAACAAAAACTATGAACTAGAATGAAAGCAATGATAGCACATACCCTGAATTCATCATCAAAAATCAGGATGTGGAATTAGTAAATACTAAACACTTCGAATATTTCGGCGTGTTGATCAGTTATAACAAATTTAGTATAGAATAAAAAGGAACTGAACATAGAATAGGTTGCGCAAATTACCAAAAAACAAATTACCAATATGAAAACTCAAGTCATGTTCTTAAAGAGCCTCTTCAGATCGAGATTTTCATATGGATGTTATGCATGGTACCAAACCCGTTCAGAAATATCTAAACTGTCAGTTTTATACAACCGATTTCTTAATCAATGGTTAATAATGACTTTGAGTGCGTGAAGCCTAAGGGTCTTGGCAAAGACCATCTTTGAAAATTCAGGACTGACGCCACAGAATCACAAAGAACTGTACCAAATAACAGAATCTCTTGAGGACTACTAACAGCAGTAAAAATTAAAATGAATAGCCCATGTAACTCAAAAAACAAAACATGACATAATCAAGATGTTGACGTTCCACACTACTTCAAATAAAAGCTGAAGAAGGAAAACTCTATCAATACTAGAAAGATAACAGCTACTGAACTTGAGAAGTCTGTTTTCTTGAAAATTTGTTTTAAGAGAAAGATTTTATAAATTTCAACCAAAAACAGTACTGGCTGCTCGGCCAATGAATGTCAAATGTTTTGTTGTAGGGAAACGGTTAATATTACAATTATAGAGTCTCATTTGTTGTTGTGTTTGCAAAAGAAGCTATAAGAAAAATGTATTCAAAGATATATAAGTGAAAAAAATAACTTGGTGTTTTTTGTTTGTTTTTTAATAAGAAATATATCTCATATATAGGGTGACCCGAGTTAAATATATTTTGTTGTGAAGGTAATTTAGCAAATTGTTTATGATGATAGTATAGTCAGTGCAGTTGCAACTGATTCGCTGAATACTATAACAGTTAGTAATAACTGGCCGCATGGTTAAAATGTTCCGACCATGAGGCCAGAGTTCGAATCTCACGAGAGTCGATTTCTCAGAAAAAAGAATGTATAAGATAGTACATAGTCCATAATAGTTTGACAAATGACAAGCATTAGAAATTCAAATTCTGGGAAACTGAAGGAAAAAACTCTCCCTTTTCCACTTGGGTTCATGGAAGAGAGACTTTTAGTTGTATGTACATTCACCAACAGTAAGAAATTCTTTGTAAAGAGTTTTACTAAAGTTCAAAAATAGAACAGACATTAAATCTAGCTCAACTTGCAATTGCAGAAAGGTGACTTCTTGACGTTAACGGTCTGTGTAGGCGATCTCGGCGTGTGGCACCTTTGGAAAATGTTTGAAAATTATATCATGGTTTCATGCAAGCCTTGTGAATAAAATTGGATAGATGGAACTGTTCGGAGGCCATCAATGGTTGACTGAGGATTTGAACATACTGGCTGTATTTAAAGTTTTAAGTTTTCACTGTATCTATATACGCAGTATAGAATATGAAAGCTGATGTTCTGAAGTTGGTAACATCTGCTAGTTCAGGGCAGTATAGATTCATGGTGGCAACTGAGTAGAATTTCCTGAAGATGGATTTAGTCTTTTGTATTTTATGTAAGATTTGC